CTACATATTCAACTTTACCTTCTTCCTTGTTTGAGTCTTAATCTATTCATGTACATACATACATACATTTTATTCCTGAACTGCTGCTTAGCACGTTTCTTTAATTCGCTATCAATATTAAAGCAATGTCATTGATGCCACATAAAGTGATATCATGTCATGTGGGGAAATTGGGTGTGGTGGTTTGCGATGTGGTGGAATTGGGTGTGGGAGTTACGGCGCTGTGAATTCAGGTGTGGTGGGCTTAAGAGGTGCGGTGAGTTTAGGTGTGGTGAATTTATCTGTGGTGAGTTTAGGTGTGGTGAATTTAGGTGTGGGGAGTTAAGATGTGGTGAGTTGAGGTGTGGTGAGTTAAGGTGTGGTGAGAAAGTTGAGGTGTGGTGAATTACGGTGTGGTGGATTTAGGTGTGGGGGGTTAACGTGTGGTGAGTTGAGGTGTGGTGAATTAAGGTGTGGTGAATTTAGGTGTGTGGAGTTAAGGTGTGGTGAGTTGAGGTGTGGTGAGTTAAGGTGTGGTGAGAGAGTTGAAGTGTGGTGAATTACGGTGTGGGGGTTAAGTTGTGGTGTGTTTCATCTTCATCTTCGTCTTCATCTTCATCTTCATTTTCATCTTCATCTTCATCCTCATCTACATCTTCATCTTCATCTTCATCTTCGTCGTCTTGGTCTTCATCTTTATCTTTTCCTTTATCCTGATCTAAATATGTCCATTCTTTTCTTCATTTACATATTCACCCCCACCATTGTTATTAGGTTAGGTATTTAAATTTTCCTTCCTCTTTGTCTTTATATCTAGGTTTCTTTACTTTTATTTTAATTTCTGTATTTATCACTTTCTTCTTCTCCATACTCAACTTTACCTTCTTCCTTGTTTGAGTCTAATCTATTCATGTACATACATACATACATTTTATTCCTGAACTGCTGCTTAGCACGTTTCTTTAATTCGCTATCAATATTAAAGCATACATTTAGGGGGCATTTCCGCCCCAACCATGTACATGTGTGCATTGGTATTGGTGTGACTTTTGAATTGATTTTTTCGCTCTATTTTAAACTGATTTGAAATTTTAAAAATTGCCTGCACATCAGCATCAAAATACCTTTCTAATGATACATAACTGTTTATACCTTAGAAGTATAGCTTAGCCGTAAAAGGGGTGTAAAGGAAACATGATTGCCTATTTATATATATGATTACTATATCAGAATGAGAGCAAATTTACACGTCACTACCTTATGGGGGTATAACACCGTTATGTACTAAGATGCGAAAGTTTCGCGGATATCATTTAAGAAATTTACTTTTGGAGGAAAATTTAAACTGAGGTCATGAAATTTGGCCACAAAAAACTCTGGATAACTGGGGTTCGACTTCTTTAAAGCAGAAGTATATCATGTCTGGAAATTTTATTTTAAAATATTGCTTTTAATGTAAAAAATTGTATTATTTAATTTTTCGGAAAGTAAATCGGTTAGACTCAATCCCCGACTCATTTGACTGTAAAGCTTTATGTCTAGAAGGTAAGCCTAAATACAGGCTGATTTCTTTACGCAAACTTTGCTGGATCTTAATAAAGCCCCGCTAACTGAGAGCTTTAGCTAAATTTTTGGTCTTATTTTCAATATTTCTGGTCGTTTGGGACTTTAATGTAAAATTTGGGCTAGCTGTATTTCACACCTAAACCATTTCAACCCAGCTAGCACAACAACCGCGGTTCATCCCTTATCAAATTGAGCAATAGTTAGATTCTTCCACTTTTGATTTAAACAAATTTTGGTCAGCACTTTTTTTAGAAAAAAAAATCGAAAAATAAAAAAAAATACAGATTTTTGAAATGTAAAAAATATTGTAAAAACTTTTGGCTTAAAATTTTTGTATACAATACCTCCAATTGATCTAAAAAGTTCTTGAAGTTTTTTGCGATAAAAGTTTTTAAAACTAAAAAACAAAAATTGCAATCTCCAAATAAAGTTAGTTTAAAAAATTTGTATCAGGGGCCGAACAACAATTGGTGACCAGAGATCATATGATCGTCTGCATAACAGCGCCCTTAAATATCACAATTTTTTTCGATCATTGCAAAATCGTTGTTTTTGATTTTTATTTTTCTAGATGAAGAAAAATCGTTAAATTTGGATTTTTATTTTTTCGGTCAAATTTAATGGTTATTTCGTAATTTCTCTTTTTTCGATAAAAATAATAGTTATTTAGTATTTTTATATATTTTATATTTTTATTTATTTTGTATTTTTGTTTAGACTGAGTTTTTAACTTAAGTCTCAAAATAACGGCTGTAATACGACAGTAGAAAGGAAAAGCAAAAGTTATACATTGAAAAAACAAAAATCCAAAAATAACGATTATTATTGACAGAAAAAAAATATATAATAAAATATTGGTTGAATTTTATCGGAAAAATGGAAATTCAGTTTAAGCGGTTAAATTATGATTTTTATTACAAAGGTAATTAAATTTATTTTTAATTTAATGTTTGCGGTAAAATTTTTTCAAAGTTCAAAAATTAATATCTTTAAAAAAACACCTTGACAATTTCATGATCTTTTTATTATTCGAAGTAATTGTATACAAAAAATGTTTTTTTCTGATGCTTTTTATTTAACATTAAATACCACCAACGAGCCCAAAACCATTTTGGTAACTATAATGTCTTTGGATATAAGAAATAAATATACTTGCAACATCCGGGGTATTGTTAAATTTTGCACTTTCGAAATAATTAATATTTTTTTCATTTGTCACAACTTCGTTGAATGACAAAAGATATGTTCTGACCAAAAATGATCCAAGTCAAAATTCGATACCAACCATTGGTCGATTATACTATATCTGTGTATATAAAAATGTGCATACATACATACATACAAACATACATGCGTACATATATGTACATATATGTACATATGTATACGTATGTAGTAAATAAGCCTACAGATTTTTTTGTGAATCTAGTCAGAGCTGTCTGAACTTAAGATCAGGGGTTCTCAGATATTTCATTCTATTTCTTCGTAGTGCTCGACATAAGCATGGAAAGTACTTCAATTTACATGTCTTGCGGCTGCATGCATGCTCGACATTAGTCGCTGCTTTAGTAAATACTACTATCCCGACTTAAATTTAGAACAGAAATTTCTTGTTTGGTGTTTTCTTTAAAATATTTCATATGCTCGCACCCAAATGAAGGACTTAGTTTTATATGCACTTACATCAAAAATATTTCACAAGATTTAATAACTAGTGCTCTTTAAACTGCTGCACATTTCCAGGAACTAAGTAAGCTTCAATTGAAATCCATTGGAAAAATGGCCAAGCTAAAATTAAAAACAAAAGATTTTGACTGAGAAAAGAATCACGTGCAAGTGGAATTTTCTAAAGAAAACCGAGTGCTAGTTTAGAAGAAAACAAAAACAACAAATTTTTAAAAACAAAAGCATTTGTACACTTTGTGCCATTTTTAGCTGATGCCATGCCAACAACAACAATAAGGAAACACGATCAAGAGTATTGCCTCAAGACGAATGCAGTAGGCACATATATATCTATGCATGTATATGTGTGTACTTGCAACATGCAACTCGAGGCAAGCAAATTGTTGTTAGCTGTCTCAGTCACACCCCTCTGGCAATGAGTATTGGCGCGTCGCAATGTTTGCATTCACAGTTGGCACTTGC